AATTATGCCCTTGTCATTACATAAATGATCTCTATATACCTTTATTGACCAATGAAACTCATTAAATCGATATATTGTCACGTTTTTAAATTTTAATAATGGATAACTGTCAAATTTGTCTTGCGAAATAAAAATTTATTAAAAAAAAGTTTATTATAAAATTATGACACATAGCAGCAAACCATGTTAATTGATTTTTTATTCAATAAATGTAAATATAGTCCACTTTTCTGATAGTAAAGGCATGATTGAGCTCAATTATTAACGGAAACTATATTTAGACTTCTTCGTACATAGTTTAAAGGTAACTTATGACCTTTTTTCCCTTGTATTTGTCAATATTGCCAAATTTTACATCGATTATTTGATAAAATATATTTTGAGTTAAGTTGGTGAAGTATATTCGAAATATTGTGAGATCCATTAAGCACTCAAAACGTTTTGATTATATGTCTAAGATAGGATATAGCTTCGGGAAGAAACTTGAAAAACTCGAGCTGATGTTTGTTTTGCCTCGTAAGGCACAAAGTACCAACAACTGAAGTTAGGGGGTGCAATAGTGACAAATACGTTAAATATGAGGGTGAAAACTAAAAATTGCATTTATATAACTAGAACATTTTCAGAAACCCCAAAAGGCCAACCAACAGCTTTGAGAAAGGAGTCTATAGCAATTCGCAGCGGTAAAGATGAACAAGAAGGAGGTATTGAAGCTAGCTAAAGGGTTTAGAGGAAGAGCTAAGAACTGCATACGAATAGCAAGGGAAAGAGTTGAAAAGGCGCTTCAGTATTCCTACAGAGACCGTCGCAATAAGAAGAGGGACATGCGTTCCCTTTGGATTCAACGCATCAATGCCGGAACTCGCCAACACGGAGTATGCACCATTTTCTCCTCCCCTTTTTTCTAATTATTGCAATTTCATAAATTTTGTGGCTTTTTCCTTTTATTTTTTGGAAGCTAGATCTTTGTGATGAATTGAAGAAACATTTTTGAAATGGGTAACTAATCCGGTCCTTGTATAAGTTCTTTTTATTTATCATTGAGTGGCCCAATTAGTAGCAGGTGGAAATAAAGAAAGAGTGGCTGCATTTTCTGAACTGTTGAATAATGTCAGATAGGAAACGAAAAGTGAATTATTAGACTATGGTCTTTTGCAAGAATGACATAAATTGACTATATTCTTGGCAAATATATGTGATATAGGAAAAGTTACCAGCTATGCTTTGCAAACATCCACTCTAGCTTTCCATAGAACGGATATGCAACCTAAACGAGAATATCAAAAAACTATATTAAGTCATTCCCCGACTCTCAACTGAAAATGGTTGAGCCTGGAGAACATGGCCTATTTATGTTTAAGCTAATAAATAGTTTACGTTTTTTCAGCTTGTAGAGAATGTCAAAATGTCATTCTGTTCCTTACTGTCTTACACTTTTTCTGATTAAATAAGGATGCCCCGTTGATACCTAATATGTAGATCACTTTGTTCGCGGGATAGGAATGTGTTTGCAATTTGCTACCCAAGTTAAAACAGGCTCTGGTAGGCGTCTTTAGGTCACATTTTAATATACTAAGAAACCCTACCTATGTAGTATTTTCTTTTTCTTAAGTTAATGGGGATCTGAAAGGTTTAAAGAATATATTACTAAGAGAAGATTACTGGCATCACATTTCTCTTATATTTTAGTTGGATATAAACTGGAAAGATACTTAAAAATTGTAAAATATGAGGATTAGCTGCAAGGATTTTGGTTAGATGGCAAAGTAGCACAACACCGGATGTGTGGTAAGAGCACATCAAGAATTTGAGTCCTAGTTGGTGAACCAGGTTTGGTATTTAAAAAGAGTAGAAGGAAGGTTTTATTATCCACAAGTTTTGAAACTGGTGCAACAGATTTCTCGGTTGTTAATAGACCCAAGAAAAGCATGTAGATAACAATACATATGTGTTGATAAAAATACCTTGTATTGTATCCACAATTTCCCACTTACAGAGAGATGGATATATCAAGGCAGAGAGAGAGTGCATGCGTGCGCACATGCAAGCCAGGTTTCAGTGAAGTGAATATTGGAAATCATGATGTGACAGAAGTGGGAGGGAACAGGGAGTGAGAAGAGAAGGTTAGAGGACTTAAGTCCCATAACCTAATTAAACTTGGGAGGCATGGCATGGCAGTCAAAGAGCAAACTTGCAGGACCCTCGGTTTTCGGCTGTGAAAACAACATATGTATTAATAGGAGTTTAATAAGATATTTCTTATGGGAATATGGACATTAATATGAAATGACCGGATATGAACCATGAAATGCATTTGAAATTCAGGTGTCTTTTTTATTTTTATTTTTTTTATAAAGGAAATTCAGGAATATTTTACCAGCTGTAGGGAGGGTGCACTACTTGACTTTTTGTTAGGAAAACAAAGTTTCAGTTCTCAATGCTAAAATGACTACAGAATCAAAAAGTGAAGTGTGTCATGGTAGACGGATTCTCTAATAGTTTCTTATCTTAGATATTCTGCTATTTTTCATAAGCAACATGATATTTTTTGAATGGTCGATTTTCCCTGATTGCTTATATATGAGTAAGGTGACACTCTTATGCTTCATGATCCTGTTAAGCTTTCCGCTATTTGCTTTTAGAGATTTGGATGTGGAGGATTTGGAAAAACATACATTTTCTAAGCTCTACTCTACCGTTATGATATTTTGCAAATCAAGCTCTTTACCCTACAAGTTGCTTTCCAAGGTCACATCCTAGTATTTGGAATAGTACATCTGTGTAGAGCTACACTGAAATTCTCAAGTGTTTCAATATCCTTCTACTCTATATCTTTTTTCCTTATAAAGGTGGTGTCTATGTCAACTTGAGCGCTCTTAAACTCTTTTACCGGATACCTGTTACCTTGCACTAGTCTTCCACCAGTACAAGAACCTGGTAACTCTGCTGCCGAGTCGGCTTAGGCAGATGAGAATAATCTTCTACTCTCTATCTTTTTTAGCATTGTGGAAACTCTGGAAACCTTGTTTGACTATCCAAATGCAAATGAGGCAATGAAATAAATAGCTCATAGTTGGAAGATATTGCTGTGTTGCATTGATATGATGAAAAAGAAGAGAATAAATTTTGTAGGTGCCGCTAGGTATCCATAAGTAACATGAAAAGTTCCCGAAGTGACTTCCAAACTAGCACATATATCCTTTCGTTGTTTTTGCATGCGCCACACTTGCGGCCGTCATGCTGCCATCAAGATATTAATTGTGAAATTCATTACTTTTCGGAATCATGTTGTCGGCTGCATTGGGAATTAATTTGTCTGTTCTTTTACTTTTTTAAGGTAGAAGTTAGAACAACATTGCAAATAGAGTGATGTATTAAGCCCCTTGATTAGATAACTAGGCTTTGTGATCATTTGAATCTTCTTTTCTTCGTTCTTCTGATTTTTGATGTACTCCTTTTTACTCCCTAAACTTACCAGCACCAAAAGTATATGAAACTCTCTTTTGGTTAAGCTGCTTAATTGGGAGATGATTGAGCAGGGTACTTTTTTAACTGAGTGAGCTGCTTTAATATGTTTGTGGGAAGTTTTGACAAGCATTTGGCCTTTGTTATCACTCTTTCTGTCATCTAGTCATATCTGATGTTCCTAAATGATACTACTATTTATTAGCACTTCTCACTACAAGTAAACAAGATACACTTTTTTGTTATCTACTAAATAATATTTTGATTTGAGTTCTGAATTAATTCCCTTTGTTTAACCTTCACTCAAATTCCAGGTAAATTATGGCAATTTCATGCACGGGTTGATGAAAGAGAACGTACAGCTGAACAGGAAAGTCTTGTCAGAATTGTCGATGCACGAACCATACAGCTTCAAGGCCCTTGTGGATATCTCTAGCAGTGCTTTCCCCGGAAATAAGAAGGCGATAGTACCTCCAAAGAAGGAAGGCCTAGCTATTGTTCTTTGAATTAATTTCCTATGTTCGGCTGTGTGTGCTCGTTTCTTCTAAGCATGTTGGTGGGTTATTTATCGAAGTCACAGGAAGTAGAGTATGGGCATAAATTGTGATATCATTTCTGTTAGCAAATTCCTGACAATGGTCTTGAAGTCTCCTGTTTCATGTAAGTGCTTAAATGGAAATTTTTGTAGCAACCATTCAATCAGTCAAATGTGCTTTAATCCCAAACTAGTTGGGTTGGTTATATGAACCCTAAAATCTGCGCAGTTGATGTACTGGGTTTTATCCTAAAAATAGTGCATCTCGTTCCTTTTTAAGTCACACTTTTTCAGTTTTTGATTTGGATAATGTAGGAAACTTTATTTGCTTTGTGGTCTGTGGAATCCATCAACCAGACAACACAAAACTCTTGTGTGTCCATATATAAATAACTCCATGCATCCTAATGCTCGTGGGTTATGTTATGATTCTACCACCAATGATTACAAGGTTATATTGATCTTTGGATTGTTTTATGTTGTCTGTTGTGCGAATAAGAATTTTTGGACGTTGAAAACAACTCTCCCTATATTAGAACAAAGTTTAGAAGATCATTGGTTTGAGCGTGTTAGTGAGGGTAGTAGCACCAAAGATTGTGTATATTGGTCTCTAGATCATAACAGTCATGCATACGAGGAAACAGCTCATCTGAATGGACGTCAAAAGTCCAATGGCAATTTTATCAAATTCATCACCTATAGGTGAGTAATCTTGATTTTGTCTTTTTCACTTTCATAATCTTTGCAATTGGCTTCTCCGGATTCATACAAGTGTAAGTTGGACTTTAGGTCGTTTGATAGGGTGTATAAGAATAATGCTGAATATGGTGTATTAGTAATGCAGGGATTAGTAATACATGTTTTAGTAATGTAAGCATTAGTTATGCAGAGATTATTTTTTATACATTGTTTGGTGTGATGTATTAAAAACTAAAATGCATTGCATAATTTTTAAAAAAAATAGTTGTTTACAAAAATGCCCTCTATATTCTTTAGTTTTAAGGGACTTTAAGGACAATTTGGTCTTTAGACATACTAATGCATGCATTGATAGCCTTGGTATTATTAATACCATGGTTTTGCTATGCATTAGTTATACACAGGATAATACCAAATAGGATGTATAACTAATGCTTGTATTAGTTATACATATGTTGAAAAAGTATACCAAACAAGGTATTACTAATACACAAAACTAATGCAAGCATTATTTTTGTCTTATGCACTCTACCAAACGACTTAGACAACTTTCAAACTAATGGTGAAAAAGTGTTCTGTTATGAATTTTCGAATGCAATTTTGCCAATCCGAAAAGGGCTTGAAAAAGGAGAAGAATTAACACAAATGGCCGCCCCACGTAATCTCTTAAGTTAAAAATAACCGGCGAATATATATAATTCTGTATAATTTATGTATATCGGCTAGAAAAAGTAAACATTGAAGCTGATCGGCTATTTGTTAACAATGAAAAGGTAATTTCAATTGTAACTTTCATGCCAAATAGATAAAGGATATTTTACCTCCTATAGCAAAGGTATACACCCTATTTATTATAAACCAAAATTATTTTAAAATATTATTTTCTATAGCTATATTTTATAGCAAAATAGGTATTTATGGTATATACTATCATTGAGACATGAAATACGCTATTTATGTTTTTCCTTTCTCTTTCTTTCAATTAACACACGATTCTCTCTCGAAATTTTCTTCCTTCTCTCTCTTTTCGAGCAAAATACCTGCTTCTAATCGTGAATTCTCTGGCCGAATCCTCTAGGATTACTGCAATTGAAAATACGTCTAAACTGTTGGGAGAAATAGGGGAAAGACAGACCTTTTCTTCAAAATCAAATTCCTCCATAACAAGGAGGGGCTCATCGCTCTGAGGCTAGGGCCGATGCGCGGGGAGCAAAAACGATGTTGGAATAATCCGAGTAGAGCATGGGTACTGCAACATGAACGACAGATACTATATTCTATACGAATCCGACGAACTTTCTTCTCTTGTTGGCCGGAAAACGCCATCTTCGAAGAACTTTCTTCTCTTTTTTGCTATTTAGTCAGATACAATGATACAGATACCTTGTATTCTTTACAAATTCACTCAAACATTATTTTTGTATAAAATATATTTTTTTGCCTGTATTTATGTATTTTGAAGGTCTGTATTTTTTTAATACAACTAAATACACTTGTATTCATGCATACTGTACATACAGTATGCATGAATGCAGGATATAAACATTGAAATACACTGAATACAAACATTGAAATGGAACAAAATATAAACAGTGAATACATTTAATTTTAAAATACACTGAATACAAATAGAAATTCCGTGAATACAACCAATAAATTATATTGAATACAACAATAATAAAATGTATTAGGAATAACTAAAATACTGTTAATACAAATACATTTGAATACACTGAATACAAAATAGCGAATACAGTAAATACAAACATTGAATCTAATTAACGCAACAGTAAAAAAAAATAATATTGAAACACCCTAAATACAACAGTTCCCCAGACCCCACAATGTGGGATATTAGTGAGTATATTGTTGTACTAAATACAACAATTATATACAACTGAAAAGTCATTCTAATTAATTGGGTTAATAACGAGGCATGTTAGAATTGATTTTGTTGAATTATATTAGGAGCGTATCACGCTAATTGATCCTATTTCCGTTATTAAACAGTTGGACATAGCTATTTTTAAGGTGATTGTCGTTACTGTATTCATGAATACATGGCGCGAATACATATGAATACAATTGCGTACAACTATAACCCCCTATTTTTTGGCGACTTTGCTACTGTATTCATGAATACAGTAGCACGAATACAACGAATACACTACAGTAACTACTGAATAGTAGCTATAGAAAGTAATTATATATATGATAACTATAAAAAGTTAATAGCCACTAAACAATAGTAGTTTCTGAAAATTTCTCATAGATAAATGAACACAAAATGGCAATGATTTAAAAGATAACACTTTCAGTACGTATAATCTGCTATCTGAACCATTCACTTAAACTAATATGATTCATAATTGGGTCTTGAATATAGAAGAGTACAATGTTATACATTATCTTCGGACCATATTCATTGTTAGAAATAAAATCAAATTAAATAAATAAAGTTGAAATAAATGACAAATGGCAGACATGTCGAGCACTTTTTATGACTCTTCTACATATTTTAACATTTTTTAATCTATATATTTATTTATTTATGTGTAAAAAACAGATGAGCATTTGAAAAGTGAGTTTAGAAGCATTAGAAGGAAATCGTGATGGCTAAAGCTATGTTTAAAAGATAGCCTAAATCAATACCATGTCCATGTTGAATCAGAGGTATTAAATTTACTTTAATACGTAAAAGGGAAAAAAAGACTGACCATGCTGGTTGGGAAAGAATTGGTTTTGCAGTCCTTTAAAAAGTTATTTTAAATTTTATGTTTTTTGTGCCGACGGTATTTAATTTTACACAAAAGATCTGAAAATAACACACACGAAATATGAAAAGGACTATTTTATTCTATTCAAAGTGTAAGCGGCCACAAGAGATCATTTCCTCCATCGGAATGTTGTGATGAATTTCATATTTGATTTGAGTAGATTTGATCAATGTGCTATGAATACATATATCAATCCGTGGTGTATGATGAAAAAGCTTGGACAATCAAATTTCAAATTATAGCACAATTTTCATATGCAAAAAGTTTCAAACTCCAACATAATGTTCCGAAGTTCAAAAGCGCTTTTGTATTTATGCCTGATGTTACGGTCACAATTGAAACTATGCCCACTTTGCAAAAAAAAAATATGCAAACCTATTTATTTTACGATCAACTTCATACTTATCGGATCTGAAATTAAAAAAATTAGTACGAAGTACAATGCACTTAAGGTCAATTAAGTCTAAAGTGTCATTTTCAATTTTCACACTTAAGATACACTTAGGGCCAAATAGGTCTGAAGTAGGGTTGTTCATTTGGATCAGATATCCGAGATTCGAACCGATCCATTCAATTTCGGATTTTGAATTTCGAATTGGATCGGATTTCACATTGTATTTATTAAAATTTCGGATTTCAGATCGAATTCGGATTGGTATATTTTAATCCGATCTGATCCGAAATCCGAAATTATTAGGCAATGTATAAATACTACACTTTAATTTCGGATAATCAGTAATTTCTTTACATCTTTCTCCAAGTTATTTCCTTTACAATTGCTAGATTTAGCTATATTGGCACCATAGTACTCTCATAATTGCATAAACATGAATTTTTCTTAATGTATTGCCTCTTTTATAAAGAAAATATACATATTAGTTTGCAACTTTGAGGCATAATAATACGATCCAAAATTCGATCCGATCCGATATAATTCGGATTGCATTTTTCAGAATTCGAAATTCGAAATTTGAATCCGAAATGTGCTAAATCCGATCTGATCTGATCCGTGCACAACCCTAGTCTGAAGTGTAATAAATATTTTCATGCACTTAAGGTCAGAGAGGTCTGAAATGAAAAATTATCTTCACTTAAGGCCAAATAGGTCTAAAGTGCAACCAATGACTTGTACTTAAGGCCAAAAAGTCTAAAGTGAAAAAATTGCACTTCAAATGCACTTGCGGCCAAATATGTTTGAAGTGCAACCAATTGTTTTATACACTTAAGGCCAATAAGTCTTAAGTGAAAATTTTGCACTTAAGGCCAAATAGGTATGAAGTGCAACCAATGTTTTCATGTACTTAAGGCCAAAATATGTCTGAAGTGCAAATTGCCCAAAAACATAAAGTTGCTCTTCAAATTTTAACAATTTAATATACAATTTAATATCTAAATCAACTCCAAATGAGCTCAAGTTTGAAACATAACCTCCCAATATCATTAAGAACAAAACCACAATAATAAATTTGTTAAAACAACAATAAATCCAACGAACTCATTTTGCAAAGGAAGAAGAAGAAACCCTAAACAATGGTAAAAAATAAATCGCTACAACAACTCACTACTGTAAAACATCATAAACTACCTTAAAATATATTCTCAAACACCATATAAAATCGATGTCATCCGAAGAGGAAGAAGAAGAAGAAGAAGAAGAAGAAGAAGAAGAAAGAGGAGAAAAAGACATGAAGTTATTTACTTTGGGTACTAGTTAAAAATATTTTAAAAAGTGAGTACAAATTAAATGGAGGTGATCAAATAAGGTGTTCCGTATAATTTTTATAGTTTAAATAATCAAAAAAATGTGGAACAGATTTGTGTTGTGCTTATTTTTCAAATGCATTAGAAGATGCTAGACGTTTTAATAAACAAACTTAAAACTGGGTCACAAATAAGGCTGGGCATAATTTGGTAAATACCGAATTACCGTACCGAAATCGAAAATTTTAGTATTTGGTATTTGGTATAAGTTTTTTAAAAAAATTGGTATTAGGTATGGTATTTGGTATTTTAAAATAAAATACCGAAATACCGATACCATAACGAAATATATATTATATTACACAAAACACATATTATCAATTATAACATAAATATAAAAAATCTAAAATTTTACTTTCCTTTATTCTCAAAGTTCATCAATTAACTCTAAACAAGTAACAAGACATTTCTAATGATCAAATATTCTTTAATGTACAATTTTCTCTATTTGGGTCGATATTTCCTAGTTTTGGATAAATTTTTTGTCAACAAATAATTTTCAATTTTGTATTTTTGAGTACTTTAATTAAGAATATTAGAGTGTATGGCTCTATGCACTAGTTAGTATTCACACCGAATAAATCGAAATTACCAAACCGAATAAACCGAAACCGAAAGGAGAAAAACCGAACCATACCGAATATAATTAGGTACGGTATTGGTATAGGATTTTAAGAAACCGAATACCGAAAATACCGAACCGAAATGTCTAAATACCGTACCGTACCGACCGACAAACACCCCTAGTCACAAATAGCCTTCAAAACGGATAGTCCAGAATATTCGTGCAAAACTTCAAGTTTAATAAGTGTTGATCTCTATTATAACATGAGTAACACTTTTAATTTTGACCTTAAAGTTGTGCCCATGAACAAACGGGATCAAAAACTAAAACTACCCAAAAAGTGTTATATTTCTGCAAATATTTGTAATGTATTTAAGGCTTGGCCCAAAATAAGTTAAGCCCATCTGAGATGATCCAATAAAAAAACCCTAGAAACCCCCAGGTATACATACAGGTCTAGAAATAGCGCCTTTGCTCTTCGCACTCCACTTCTCCTCCTCTCTTACCCTAGCCTCCGCTACTTCCCCTCCTCCCTACCCCCTTACGCAGTTCCGCCATCAATGGTAAGCTTCTCTACCGCTCTATTGATATTACATATATATGTTTGAGCATTGAATGCTGATATGTTGGCCATTTTTGCAGGCTCCAAAGAAGGCAGCTCCTCCTCCATCGTCCAAACCCGCCAAGTCTGGAGGTGGAAAGCAGAAGAAGAAGGTCATAGCTTTTTTTCCTTTTTGATATGACTTTATTTGTTTGTTTTTGTTGGAGTATTTGAGGGTTTTAATGTTGTTGGGGTTTTTGTGAATTGGCAGAAGTGGAGCAAGGGAAAGCAAAAGGAGAAGGTGAACAACATGGTTTTGTTCGATAAGGCCACTTACGACAAGCTCCTCTCTGAAGCTCCCAAGTATAAGCTCATCACCCCTTCCGTCCTCTCCGATCGTTTAAGGGTATGGATCTAATTTTATAGTATGTTGATTTTAAAGTTTTGTGAAGTGTTTCGTATGCTTGCTTACAATGATAGGTTTTGTCGAAATAAGCGGTAATTGCGCTATTGTTGCCTTAGGTTTACTGATATATTCTGATTTTGTCTGTGTGATATTTCACTATACATTTTTAAATTAATTGAATTATTGGTCCCTTTACATAGGAAATGTGTAATGTTTAAGTTGTTTCTAGAACTGGATTTTACCTCTAATGTAGAGTAACAATACAAATTTAACATGATATGTAAATTTTGTGTCTTGGTATATGCCCTTTTATCTTTATGCTTTGCTAAGTGAAATATTGATTACCAAGAGTTATAACATGAAGACTTGATCTTCAAGTTGTGTTTGGAATAGAAATTTCTTTTGCTAGTTTATCTTTACTTTCGGATTGTCGTGATTGGAAGAATGGGCTTTGGCTTAATTTTGGGAGAAATTGAGTGTGCTTTTAAGGACTTTGTTTAAAAACCCAATTCATCTTTCAGGCAAGGTGAGATTAAAAGATAAGACATCATTGGATAATATTAAGACTTTCTCATGTGTGTTATAGATTTTTGAAGTACTTGGTGGCAATTGTATTAGTGGAAGGGGTTTAGTTTTTGGTTGAATTGTCGGAGGAATAAGTTCATTTTTGTTTTTCCTCAAAAGGGAAAATGTGAGTTTTGGATTTGGATGTGGCAGCCGTGGTAAATGAAGGAATTTTGCTAGGGTGCTCAAGATTTAAATAAATGTTCTGGATGTGGCAGCTGTGGCAAATGAAGGAATTTTGCTAGGGTGCTCAAGATTTAAATATATGTTCAAAAAGTAATATCTGAGCAAGGTATTGTAGAAATTTCAGGTGAAGGTGTTTAACTATGTGGATCTGCTTGGGAGAATTGGTTTTGATTTGTTGCACATACATTCTTGATGAAAGAATTTCTAGTCTTAATGACGTTTCAGCTTTTTAATGGGTTTGACAGTAAGTTGTTGGTAAAGCATCTTATTTTATATCCTGATAATTTTGTGCTAATATTGTTCATTTGTTTGAATTTGCAGATTAGTGGATCCCTCGCTAGGAAGGCAATTAGGGATTTGATGGCTAGAGGGTCCATCAGGATGGTGTCTGCCCATGCTAGCCAGCAGATTTACACCAGGGCTACCAACACCTAAGGCTTTAAGAGCGTTAGACTTGTTTGTTTAATTAGCTTTCATTTTGTTTGAAACATCATGTCAAGACATAAATTTTGTGCGATGAGTTGAAGATTTTTGACTCTTTCTTCTTGTTCGGTTACTCACTGAATTCTTTGGCTTCTGAATTATGATTCTTGTTTTTGTTCCAGAAAGGGTTATGCGTGACTTAGATTTCCGACCTGTTACATAGTCTTTTTACCCCTTCCAGGCCTCTTGCTGTAGTACAAGGTATATGAATTCTGCATTGGTCTATGGGTGGAGTTAATTTCTGTATGCAGTAATTGTGTACCTAATTTGAGAGAGAACTTGGTCATTGAATAACGGGTGTATTAGATGTGTTCTGTTGTTGCTGTAACTTGGATTTCCAAAAGGTGATGCTCGATCTTTAGGTTAAACATAAGTCGAACCGGTCTGCCCAAAATTTGTTATTTGGTCACTATAGACTAGCATTGATTACATAGCTAAGTGTAAGCACATAAGTACTCTTTCAACTTATCCTTTTGTTGTCAATTACACTTGGAGCATGTTTGGAAAGCCACAAAGGAATTAGATTTGGGTGTAATTATACAGTTTGACATGTTTGTTTGACCAAGTAATTATTTGGTCAGCATGATATTGGGTGTAATTGGAGGAGTGTAATCATACTCTCAAGTCCAATTATACTGAGTTATTACAAGGTTACTTTTTAGTTTCTTTCCTTTTGGTTTTTATTTTAATTTCTTTTCTTTAAAACTTTTGATTTCTATTATTTTACCTTTTTAATTTTATTTTTACTTTTTAATATCTTTGTACATTAATTATCTTTTATTTTTCTACCTTTACTTGTGATTCCATGTAATTGTTTATATTTTATTATTTATTTATTTTATTATTTTATTTTTGGAAACTACACCTCCTAATAGTAGAAATAACGAGTCATTAACAAACTTGGCATATAATGAGTGATGCAATTAAAATGAAATTTCGTTGTTGAATGTGGTTACAAACTTATTATGTTCTAATCTTAAGTTATAGTCGAACTTACTATTATTATGTAGGAATTTGATATATGTAAAAGTAATTTTTTTTTTTTGGGATTTTGAAATTGTGTTATTTTTGTGATTCCAATTTACTTGTTTTAGTAGTATTGACTCACATTGTACGTTGTTCGTTTTTTAGTTAGAATTGATAGATTAGTTTTGTCAAACATATGAATAATATTATGACATTATATTTATAAATATTAATTTATTTTATCAAACATGAATTCCACGATGTTCTTACAAACCGTATGTTTTTAGTTTTTGTAAGTATCTAAACTAAATATTATTAATTTGAAATATATATATTATTTTAACAATATTAGTTATAAATATATGATTACTAATTAATGTATATTCACGAAAAAATATGTATCTTAAATACCAAATATAGTATCATTTTTACTTATAAAAATTTATAGAGCATATATTTATTATATTAACTTTTAAGTTTTGATAATTACTTCATTTAAAATTTAATTGAACTGTGTAATTACACTTGTGCAACCAAACAGTAAACTTGTAATTACGCTGTAATTACATTATGATAAACAAACAAATCGTCGTAATTACACAACTGCGTAATTACTAGGCTGTGTAATTACATCAATTCCAATTACCTGGTGGCTTTCCAAACAGATCCTTAAAGTGCACGAGAGGGATTTTAGGCACTTTTTTCAAACGTTGGCGTGAAGAATGACCGTGTTAACAAGGATTTTGTTTTGGGAAAAGGTCCAAAATTTGCTATCTATTATGTTATGTTGTTTACTTCCGCCACCCGTTATATTTTTTGTCCAAATCTATCCCTACCGTTAACAAAGTATGCATAATTGCCTGCCTTAAGTGGAGGGACGTTAGGGTTAGGGGCAATTATGCAAACTTTGTTAACGGTAGGGATAGATTTGGACGAAAAATATAACGAATGACAGAAGTAAACAATATACCATAATAGAGGGGCAACTTTGGACCTTTTCCCTTTTGTCTTCAACTAAAGGTGGCATTTATGTATTAAACCTTTTTTTCCCCTAGCGATTCACTTCTCAAATGGGATATGTAATCGTTGCTGCAACTGGAAATAGCAAGTTGCCTCTATTACCCTAAACTAACAGAACCTAATTTTAAATGTTACTGTACAAGGAACTCTACTTCCTCATTCAATATTTCCAAAATTTACCAGAGCCACCGTGAAAGGGAACGTAAACACAAGAGGATATGAATGTAAGACCTGTTGCTTTGCAAGACAAAAGTCAAGCACCAGTAATCACAGTGGAAACTTTCCTTATTACCGAGATATTGACACAAAAATGCATGACCTTCGAAATGCGAGTCCATCAACCAGCAGCACTAAAAGCTTATCTTCCTAACCTAAAAGAACATATTGTCAAATGTTGTAACTCTACTTTCTGACTCGATATTTTGTAAAGCTACCAGAGCTACACTTTGAACAAATCTCGAAGTAATTACAAATCAACAGGATAAGAAAAATGTCTGCGAACAAGCTCAGAAAGATAGTATTTTGAGAATATACGCCCAGTGACCACTTTGTGACTCTCAACAAGTAGCCTATTCTGATCTTTCTACACTGAGCTAAACATACAGAACACCATAATCACACTGATTTTGTCCAGCTACCACAGTTTCACTTTGATGAAAGCATGCTGTTTTCATGGTCCACAAAGACTCTTGATATTGCATTTCTGCATAAATCAAGAGGCATTCTCTGCAGAAGCAACCTCGTTTTTTCCAGGGTCAAGATTAATGTTGACCTGTGAGTTATCACCTGATTCGTCCTGTTTCGGCTGGTTATCAGTTTTCTTCGCTGTAAAACGACCCCCACATCCTCTAGCTCTTTTCAGTGCATGCAAATGGCGTGACTCATGCAAGTAGGGCTGCAAGATTATTTTGCACTGTGAGCTTCCCAAGGTATTGGTGCTGGAATAACATAGCCTCAGAAACAGATATTAGAACTTTTATCATGGGGTAAGGCACCTCATTACCAACTGTATGATATTGGGTCTGGCAGAGATGGTCCAGCACAGTTGATATTCATCTTTGAGCTATTTATTAGGGAGTAAAACACATTATTGATCAGAACCCATAACTTTCTGGATACACAAATTAAATCATAGATAAGTTTTTTTTTTTTAGGAGATGATCCTCAAATTACGAACCCGAAATGGAATCACGTTGTTTCAGTTATATAAGACTGAATAAGATTTGAAAAGCCGTCAAAATCATCACATAAATTTCAGTAGCAGGAAGGTAGTCCAGGGGAATGGTCTGAGATTGAAAGAGCCTTGGAGAGCCCAGGTCAAAGAACATGAGCATTGGAGGTTTCTGTTTGTTCAGTTTTATTTGATGTTAATGGGAATGTCTACAATCAAAAACGAAGTTTCAGTAAAAGAAAAAAGCAAGAATACTTCCGAAAGCATTTTCCTGGAAGAAAAGAGACGCACAAAGCAAAAAGGAAAGGATATTGAAAGTACAAAAAGGATAGCTAAAATTTCATGTGACCCCCCCTCCC